TACTTTTGACAAAAAGATTTTTTGATGTGGCAAAGTTTACTACTCTAACTCCATTATCATTACTAATTTCATGCAAACTCTCATTCCCAATCGTTGGTTTGAAAATGTCTTCCCTCCTTACTTTGGCATTGAAATCTCATAACAAAATTTTCATAGGGTACTTTGTGAATGTATCAAATACATATTCTAGTTCTTCATACAATCTATCCTTTATCTCATCAATTTTATCTTCTGTTGGGGCATGGACATTCATAACAATGATATCACACCAGAGACCTTTTAGTATTATATATGATATCCTATCTCTAACGAACTCTACCCTCTTAACTGCTGATACGATTCTCTTATGTACAAAAAAACCTGTACATAATTCATGATTTTCATTCCCCTTTCCATAGAAAAATGTATAGACTCCTGCTGGTGTGATGCCACCTCCATCCCATCTGATGTCCTGTACTCCCACTAAATCTAACTTATATTTTAAGGTTTCTTCTGCAACTGCCCTGAGTGAACCTGTCCTATACAAACTTCAAACATTACTCCTATAAACAGCAAGGTTTATAAACCTTTGGCATTGTTGGATGGGGCTTGGATGCAGTGTTGATTTGAAACTTTTCAAAAGAGAGGTTGATTTGAATGCACTTTATAGCTAAATTCTTGATGTTTCATTTATTTGAAGCCTTTTAAAGAAGATATCTTAATCAGGGTGATGAATGTATGAATGAATGTATAAGGAGTGGGCCTTTTCGGATCTTGCACCGCGACCTACAGTGGTCTATTGTGGTCAGAGAAATTGAAGTTACTTTTATGTAGCCTAATATAAGTCACAAACTGTAATTTCTCAAAATTCATACCTAAAGTGGCCATTTGTAATTTTTCAGAGATCCTATTAAATTTGCTCCATATGTTTCTGCACGCATGAAACAACTTGAGATGGACTGAAGGTATTTTCATGAATGTTGATACTGGGTAATTTATTAAAATTTGTCACTCATATTTTTTTAAAATTGGATAAAAATAACTGACACTTCACATGAACACACAGATGCATTTACACAGTTATCTCAAGTGTAATTTGCTAAATATTTATCAGCTAAAAAAGAATTCTGATTAATGAGTTATAGAGAGAAATGAAACATATTTTATGTCAAGTACACCATTTCTGTAATCTTATAATTTTCAAGATGATTAAACAGAAGGAATTCTATTCATTCGTGTCCTAACTTGTACATTCAACACAGAACTGTAGTCTTCAAAACACTGATAATTACCACATCATCAACATCAAATATAAAAAATATTTCTTAAATTTCTCATTTTTGATAGTAATTAACTGAAATTTCCTCCTACTTCTGCTAATATAATTGATTGTGATGCTAAATATTTTACTCACAATCATAATAGGGTATTCTACATGAAAAGATATGCTTCCATTTTTTCAGCAAGGACTCCAGTGAAGAGAAAAACAAAACAAATTCTTGATTGAGTTTAGACTGGGGTTGAAATAAAATTTGTTTCATCTTTTGATGTCCTGCTGTATTATAATATGACTTTAAAGCACACTTTAAACATTTTTAGGTTTAATTTTCTTTTAATGCATATACTAGCATTTAACATTAAAGTGTTAATACTGACTGTTTCTTTATTCAATACTCAACCCATTTTTGTAACCTCGGCCGCTGCTATGCAAACGACCCTCCATTATCTATCACCGGGGATAAGCTTTGTTGATACTGCAATACCTACGCAACAGCCAACTTTTGGGGCTACAATACCACTATTGTCACTACCCATGCAACGGTCTGTTCTAACGTTACTATGAAAGTGTGTTCTGGTTCCGAACATGTGATAATAACTTCTTCTGATATATGTTACATTAATCTTAAGTGTACACTATATACCTTCACAATCATATTACTGCTGAACTGGAACTGAAAAATGCTCTCACCATGGGCCAGTTCTATCCACTGCTCTCTACTTCAAGCCAGCTTCTTGGTCACAGTGATTATCACAGATATTCAGCATGCAGCAAAGTATACACAGATCGCTGTTGTGTTCAGAGCAGCATCAGCATTCAGTTTTGAAATGAAGTTTATTTTTAAATAAATAATTTTTCATATTTTAAAGCATTCAGTGCACAGGAAGTTCAATTGAAATACCCCAGGTTTACAACAGGTTGGTTGAGGCACTATTCTACAAGTTGGAAGGTGGTGGGTTCAATTCTAGATGAGGTCATTTGATTTTTCAATTGACCTAATCCTTCTGGCCGAATTATGGCCCTGGGGTTGACTCTTCCTCTAACAGAAATGAGTACCAGGAATCCAGAAAATGTGGGAGCCTCAATGTCTCACAACCTTTTGTGCATCCATGGCCTGTTACAGGGATAGCATTACCTTTACCTGTTAAAAATGAAGATGAGGATGAAGAGGAAAATATGAAAGAGAAATTGATGCTCAGTTTCAGTTCAAGCCCAGGAAGTTGTTACACTGCTTGAGTCATACATTCTACATGTCATGCCATACAAATTTGTAACCCAGATACAAAAATTAAAATTGTGGGACATCCTTGCATTAGAAACATCAGCAGATGCAAGTCAGTATAATTCAACTCTGAAGCTATAACTGAAGTATACATACACATACTAATTCTGTGACAATTTTGGAGCCTTCTGTATTGGTATTTTTAGTTTATAGGCTCAGAAGTATAGTACTGCAGCCCTACAACACAACTAACTCCAAGAAGCATAGATTTTCTTGAGATGCTAATAGTTGCTCAGTTGGTCAGGAAATTCTGTGTCTTCTATGAGACCTAAAGTTAATTGCCTTATACAGAAGAGCATGCCACAGACCCATATTCTGAACCAGTGAAATCCAGTCCACATCCTCATAATACATTTCTTTGAACGTCAAGTACTACAGTCATTTAAAATCTTATGCCCACTAGTTGAAAAGCAGGGATTGTTTCTGAAGATAAAAGACAGTTTAATTTAAATGGCTACTTAAATGTGCAAAACAACAGATTTGGGAGTGCATAAAATCATTGTGCATTTCATGCAGTCATGAAAACATGTCATTATTTGTCAACATGTGAGGCAACCCTGCATATAAGTAAAATGTTAACACTGTGACGATTCTCTCTAAAATAACACAATTTTAGAACCTGCCAGTGCAACAACAAAGACAGACCCAACAGAAAGGAGCATATCAATAGGTACAGCATCTCTCCAAGTTTGTTTGGATAATAGATGCTATGGCATACTTGCAGATTTCATTGCTAGAGGGCAGTTGTGACAAAATATGGCGAGGCCAGGCGATAAGAGAGCATTCTCTGCCTTGGAATTTGCCAAAACTGAATCAATTATAATGGTGCAACTGAGGTTTTGGGCCAAGGACCATACAGAACCACCTACAATCAAAACAATTCCATCTCAGTGGCTGCCTGTGCACTGCAAAATGAAAAGGCTGGCTGCCACCATCGATGGAGACCATTTTTCTTCCGGAGCCAACGGTTACCAATATCAGCTACCTGAACACACTGCAACTGTGACTAGTGCCACAATTACAGGAAGATAGCGCGGACTTCATTCTCCAAGATGGAGCCCCACCACACTTCCATTTTGACTCCACAAAGAAAAATTGAGGTAAATTTTTTGTGTATATTGTATTATGTGCTATATAGGGGAACAATTCATACAAATAGAACCACAGAATGAGAACAACCGCTCTCTATTAAAAAGAAGGCGTAGCACCCCTATACAGGACATGATACAACATACACAAAAATTTCATCACCATATATATGGACAAATACCGTCTTAAGTGCAACAATTTTATTGTAGTTTTTACTTCTTTTTCCTCCTCCACACTACATGTTTCGGCCCTAAATGGCCATCATCAGGTGTGTATCACTCACGCAACTGTTACACTGCTTGTTAAAAATATATGGCATGTACCCTGAAAAACTTTAATTGAAAAATTTGAAAAAGAAAGAGAACAAAGATCTTATAGACATTTTAACTTGAATTGGGGTTTAAAAAGTGCTAATTTAAAGATCAAATTGACG